ATGGATCAAGGACGGTCAATCCCTGAATTCCACTGCAATAGTCAGTATGATTGCAATGCTGATCGAGATTACGCAATTGACTGACCTGACAACACACAGGCAAATATTCTACGAGATGCAAATATGTCACGGCGCAGACTCAAAGGGAGACTCCCTGCAGCTCGCATTACTAGACCAACTAAGTCCTACTAAAACAAATATGGTGGTAGTTTGCGCATATTACACCCAGTGGAGTGACACAGCCCATCCTTACCTCCTTATCACCTAAAACACAATCCATGAAAACAGTCATTTTGCACTCCTTTGTCAACAAGCCATGTCTTCTTCAAATGGGAACGTTAGAGAAGATCTGTCTTTCGGTTCGAAAATTTTTTTTTAATTTCTGCGTAAGTTAAATCCCGCTGACATTTACGGTAGGCCTTTGGACTTCCAATCTACATTCTATATATTTTCCTTCCAAATATACTGTTTTCATTAGTTGTAGTTTAGTTAATAATGAGGTAAATATAACTTGTGTAGCTACATTTAGTCAAGACTGTCACCGGGGTGGGGTCGCTATGCAAAGCCTTGCTTCGGGGAAAATGTGTGACTTCTGGCAGAAAAGAAAGATCGAATGACTACTTGCTTCTATAATTAATACTGCACGAGTAAGTTCGCCTTCGTCGAGGCGAACTTCAACTGTCAGCACACTTATATCTGTCATATAAATGCGCTTTTATATCTCAGCCTACACCACCTAGTGACAGCGAAAATACCACAGTAAAAAAAACTTCAGGGCGCACCAGAACAATTTTGAAAATATTTTCAGTCGATCCAGCAACACGGTATAAAGATCTGTATCTACTCTGCCTTTAAACTAACAAGAGTTTTCACAGTGTGCCTCAGTTAACCGCCATAGTCGCTACTGTTCCTCGGGTAGACAGGCTGCTCGACCCCGTCAGTCACTTAAAGCACCCGGCATCACCGGTTGGCCGCTTGGTTGCCGGACAGACCACTGACGCATTAGAGAATAAATTCAAAATGAAGTCAGCAGGGGATAATCCATCATCATGGCAAAAATGCACACTTCATAATTCAATATACCCGAGTCACTTAGGCCTGCTCCGACGCACTACTAGTCGTAGCTTCCAAAGCCCAACCAAAATTATCGTGACAAATCGGTCCTTATCAGGACCGAGAGGAAGACAAGAAGTGCAATAATCAGTATGATTGCAATGCTGATAGAGATCACACTCTTTCAGTGTGACCACGTCGCGAGAATACACGGTTAGCGTCTGCCAAACAGACTCTGTCATGCAGTCGTCGCCATCGGTACTCGTAGTTGGAATTAACACAGACTAAGTCCAAAGTATGTGTTGAAGTATCACCATATTCATCGAAGTCAGCCAGGAGTCCAGGCATGGCAATTTACGGTTAAAAAAGTGGATCAAAATCTTTCGTGGGGGACCGAGTGTAGGAGGGCAAGACGGAGCAAAAGCCAAAAAATAGAAACCACGCGGAGCAACATCACCGCACTATGACCAATGTTAATTTATTGCTCCACGGCCAACGCTCGTGCAAAGTCCCATTCATCATTTGGGACACTTTAATGTACACAGACCACAACGTCAATTCGTCTATCCAACTCCACATCCCCCACCACACCTCACTACGCCACATCAACCAAGCTAAATAAACACACCACGAATGGTCTCACAGTGACCTCGTGTTCCGGGTCCACTTAATCTAGTTGGACACTTCCGAACGCACGACAACGCGGCCATCGCCAGAACTCAGATGAAGACAGAACGTCGTGTAGGCAAAGAGTAGCATTCCATTGGGGTAACAATCCCGCTGGATACCTGCAAATCCATCAGAGCACAGCTGGGAGTAGCATACGTCGAGTTAGTAGAGTAACGAGGGCGACAGTGCAGTGGGTGGTGGGCAGCTCTGCCTCTCTAGAACCCGGTTCTCTCGTTACTCACCACTCACATTCCCATCTATAAACAACACCCTGTGCTTCTATACTACCATGACGACGCACAAACAGCCATGGTCTGGCAAGCAGTCAACCAAGGGCAGAAGTCAGGGAACAAACGTCGAAAATGTCAGAGGTGGTACTAACTCGACCAGCCAACCGGTCTGGCACGAAGCTCGACAGAGCTACATGACTGTGTTGCATTCATAGTGCAACCACAATTTCGTGCTTCTTAGCTGTGTAGCTCGCACAACTGACTCCTGTCAACTGTCACTTTCTGCCATACTTTTCTCCTGCCAGAAATTAATGTCTTTAAAAATAATATTTGTTTGTCTACCAAGGGATGCGATGTGTATAGCTTGAACATAACTTCATTTGGCATAGCAGAACCCCGTCTTGTCTGTGTCTCCGAGGTTTCGAATTCAACTCGAGTAGGGTTAATTAATCAAACTAGACAATTGCTTGGGCATTTGGAAATGCCGTTGTGTCCTGTCGTCTCCACTGTCGTCTTCATCCGGTGATAGCTGAGCTGGCAGAGCGGAGGACTGTAATTGTGTAGCAATTATCCTTAGGTCAGTGGTTCAAATCCGCTTCACTGGAGCTAGCTTTTGTTTGAATGTGGGTTAGAACTGTTGGTTGATTGGGTTCTCAGATTTCCTTTCGTTCCTGCCGAAGACAAAGCCAGCCGACATACTGAGTAAACATAAAGAACGACTAAACTGCTTTCTTCTGCTAACAGACGCAGTACTTGACTCAAATGAAGTTCAAGGGGACTTCTGGGATGAATGAAATCTTGCGAAATGGTGAAATATGTAGGTTCACGTACGTGTCCTGGCATCATTTCAACGGTAATTTGCGTGAGGGAGTCCTAAAAGCGAGAGTGAGGGAATTGAGCATAACAATTGAAACTGTCCGACCGCCAATGGTCCGCGTGTTCGGATAGACTCGGAAGCACTCGCGGTGACGAATAGGATGAAGTAGGACTCTATAATTGCTTCCGTCCTTTTCTGTCTCATAATAGCCACCACACTGACCAAGGCCCTCCCTAAGGAGCGAGAGGGAATCAATATGGCCTTGACGTCAGACTCCATGTCTCGTTCCTACTGCAAGCGTACGATCCACCTTGCCATCGCCAGACGTAGCATGCCAGGGCATGGACGTTCAGTTGAAGTGGGGAG